GATAGATATATAACAAAAAAAAAAAAAATTCTGTGCCAGCAAGCTATGTAAGTAATCACTTTCACTCCAGTATCAGGGAAGCCTAATAATGGAATACCAAAGATGGAAACAGATTTCAATCAGCCTTTTTTTCAGCAAATTACCTGTCGCCAACAGGTTTGGTGAAGATCTGCAGCAGGGTGCCCTGATCGTCTTTATCCACCAAGATCCCCAACTCCTCGCACTGCTGAATCTGCTCGTCGCTCAGCACATCACCAACTCTGTTCTTCAAGTTCTTGTAGTATGTGGGAGGCGGAGAAGGCATGAACTCGAACCCGCCGATGTTACTTCTCTTCCTCATCTCCCTCAACGTCTTGAAGATATCCTCACTCATGAGGGCCAGATGCTGGACCCCAGCTCCTTCGTTGTGCTCCAAATAAGTCTGTATTTGGCTCTTCCTCTTGGTCCCAAACACCGGCTCGTTCATCGGCAGCAGAACCATTTCTGAGTTATTGGCCAGCACGGCCGAGTTCAGCCCGCTCTCGCTCGTCCCCACATCCTCCGCCGTGAACTCGGCGAACTCGTGGAAACCGGTGAACCCTTTCACATAAGCCACCGCTGGGCCTAATTCCGGCACGTTTCCCACGGCGTGGTCCAATCGTCGGATCCCGTAGTCCAGAGGGAACGCCGATGCCTCGTCTACCGACTCGAATTTGGGCAGAAACCAACAATCGGGATCGGAATCGCCGCTTGCTGCTGAATCGCTAGGGTTCTTATAACTCACGTACCGCAACACGACGTCGCCGTACAGCTCAACCTCGGCGATTACGGCACGGCCGTCCAGCGCCATCGGCTCGGCGGATGGCCTGGCGCCGTGAGCGACGCTGGTGCGGAAGGCGAATTCGGCGTCCTCGACTTCCATCGCGACGGCCCGGACCGCGAGGCCGTGCTTGGCGGAGAAGCGGCGGCAGGCGTCGTGGTCGAAAGTCGGGACGGAAGCAGTGGCGGTGTGGGAGAGGTTCTCCATCTGGGCGATGGAAGGGGAGTAAGGGGAGGTGAAGAGGAAGCGGAGGTCGCCGGAGCGGAGGAGGTAGGAAGCGTGGGTGACGTTGCCGGTGGAGAGGTCGGATTTGGCGACGATGGGCATGCCGAGCCCCCAGGAGAAGCGGCGGGAGGTGTTGGTGGAATCGGTTGACCAGAACTCGATGTGGTGGAAGCGCTTGACCTTGAATCGATCGGAGCGGGGGTTGGCGCGGACGAAGTTGGAGAATCCGACCAGGTTGAAGGTCGGAGCTGCAGGGGAGGAAGGGACAGTTGGTTTACCCATCGCGGCTGCTGGAGCTGTGGGGTTGGGACTTGGGAGTATCGTGTGGTGGACTGAGGAGGAACTGCTCAGCTCTGCTTGGTGGAGGAGGATGTTGAGGATCGAGTTGGTGTTTCTGATTGACCAGATTGGACCAGGCGGATGGTGCTGAGTTGGCTGGTAGTACTTGACTCGGAAGGAGGGGAGAAAGAGACGTGGGGGAAATGGTGTCGTGGGGAAGTGGTCTACAACGGCAGTTCGGTTTTTCATTTTTTTTGGGCCGATGTCGTGAGATGAGTCCGGATCGTTTGACTGGGGTGCTTTCTACTTAGCAAGGTTGTCAACCCGCGGGTCGAACCATTTTGACCCTAATTCGGTGAGAAAAATGGACCGCATGCATAAGTCGGGCCGACCGCTACAAGGTACCGAGTTGGATGTCAAATTGTGTCTTTTTTCCTTTGGTTTGCGAAATGCGCCTATTTTTCGATTTTTCTTTTCGCCTAACTCAATCTTTAGAATCCTAAGTTGAACATTTAAATATTTATGTTATATAAGTGTGTGAATTTTCACTATATGTTGGATCTAAGTACGATATGTTATTTTGGTGTAAAATTATATGTTATAACTCATATGTTAGATAAGATTTGATATAATTTATGAGGATAAGTACAATATAATGACTCTTTCCATATTTCCGGGCCAAACCGGGCTAAAACGGTTGACCCATTAACCCTTGACCCACTAGTTCGACTGGGTCTGGGTCAACCCGCGGGTTGACAACCTTGCTGCTTAGTCACTTATTAAGCCCCTCCCAGCAATTAGATCTCGACACAACAATCTAACGGTTAAAATGTGGGAACGACTATTTAATTAATGACACAAGTAGTTTGGGTATTATGGAAAATTACGAAATATACAAACCGGATTTATAATTAGTACAAACCATATAAACATACAAACGGTACAAACTACAACGACAAAACATACAAACAGATTTACAAACTTTATAAACGTATGAACTGTACAAACAATACAAACTACACCGACAAACAATACAAACCATACAAAAAGAAAAAACAATCGGATTGACTTTAGAGGCTTCTTCTCTATATAGAGGGGTTATGTCCAAAGTCAACCCGGTTGTTTTTTAGACATACAAACAATACAAACATGTTGGATAAAAATAAATGACAAACTAGACCGACAAATCATACAAACTGGAAAAACACCCGGGTTAACTTTGGAGGTTGCATCCTTATATAGAAGAGTTTCATCCAAAAGTCAACTAGGTTGTTTTGTAGACATAAAAAATATTACAAACATGGTTGACAAAAATGATAAACATGATGCACAAAAATAACAAAGGTTACAAACATTACAAAAGAAACCGACAAACATTACAAAATAACAAAGCGTACAAACATTATAAAATAAACCGGCAAACAATACAAAGCATATTAAACGTACAAAATGTCACTAAAAATGACAAACAATACAAACTGAATCGATACAAACATTACAAACCAGACTTACAAAATATGTCAACAAACATCACAAATTCAGCACTGTCGCCAGGAAATCCTTCTCCGCCGTCGCTGGTCGCCGGAAACTCTCTCTCTCTCTCTCTCCGGAAAATCCTCAACGGCCGCCGGGAAATTCTGGTCGGCTGAGGCGAGGAGACGTGTTGAATTTTTTTTTAATTATTACTTACTAAAAAATAAAATAATTATGAACCGTGCAATTACTACATTACCCTTCATTAAATTGACTTTATTAGTCATTGAATTTTAATGAGCTTGAATTGTTGAGATTGACTTAGGCAAGTAACTAAGGAGACCCCCCTTAGTCACCTGATCTTATTCCTCGTGGGAGAGAGATAATCATGAATTCATAATATTGGTACTTTTTTTCCCCAATAGACTGTACCATCCAAACCTCTTCCCAATAAAGATAATGTCTGTTTTGGACCTCGACCTTTAAAAATTTCAATTTGGGATGAATTCAATAAGGTCACTCATCCTTGTTGTACTGCACACCGAGCACGTTTAATTTCGAAGTTCTCACAAGCACTCCTCCATTTCAACCCCCAAACGCGTCTTGTCAGTTAAGGTCGGTTTCTTACTTATGAACCATGGATCTCTCCCGTGCTTTGTCGATGCGGGATTCGCCTAAGGTGTTACAGATACTCATAGAGGGAAGAGCATATACATAATATATAACATTAAACACGACCTTTGGAGGTCAAATCATAAAAAGAAGAAGTAAAGACTTTTGCAGGTCTGACAATGATAGGTAATTTTCCACGATATGGGCAGCTCTCTATTACATTTTCGAAAATAAGCATAATCCATTATTTAACCTCTTCCCTTTGCACGAAGAAAGTCATGGATCGAGCCCAATGAAGCTGAAAGCTGTGCAGCGAACTTGGGTGAATAACCTCATCAAAATCAGTTTTCATCTTGCTCTTACTTAACCGCACCAATGCTTGAGACCAGTTCATTGGTCCCCAAAAGCCTACACCGCTTCTCCTGCAAAACAAAACATATACAATTACAAAGCTCAGACAAGGATCATAAAATAGAGTAACCCAAATTCATAAAAGAACGTGACCTTCAGCATGGGCCAAAAAGCCTCATCCACCCATGAATCACCACCAGCAAAGGCCTAAGGCATAACTGAAGCCTAACGCAACTAAAAAAAATAGTTATCCAACTGATCATTACCTGATATGATCTCAATTAGACCTCTCTACAAGGTACAATGGATTGAAACCGAAGCAACCCCACTCACAAGTTGGAAGCTAGGATTTTGGTTAAGTCCTTTTGCCATTTCGGGTTGCTCACTTTGGAAGCCTGGTCGTCACGCATGGCTTGATGAAAATGAGAATTTATTGTGTTGCATTGAACCTGGGATGTTTGTAAACACTTGGGATTACTTGGGAGCTCGAGATCAAGTCCAGAAGGGCCCTTTCTGCCTTTCAGGTTATGCAAAAGTGTAACTGGAAAGCTGGAATATGTTAGTTTTTGGCTAAGGCAGAATCCAGATTCAAGCAAGCTACTTTGAGACTCGATTAGGAAGGGATGGTTGCGAGTCGAGTTCCACGATTTGAACCACATCAAAATAAGGATTCAGAGTGCAACGTCGAAGAATTGGTTGAGTGATTCGGAGCTTGGAAGCCCTCGAACGAAGAGTCCAAAGATCGTCTCGAGGCTGCATTTTCTGACGTTGGAAGCAAGTAATCCGAATCCTTGTAGGATTAGGATTCCTAGACTATTTTGCATTTGAGTTCTTTCCTTGTTTATTTGGGTTCTTTGTCGAGTTGTAATAGGATTAGGACGTCTTACCTTGTTCTGTAAGTTAGCTCTAGGTCTATTTAAGAGTTGTCTTGCGTTGTAATTCACTCAAGTTTTAATCAAATAAACCCCTTTGTTCATTGAGTTTATCTTGTGAATTTGTCCTTGGTTTGATTGGATCAATTCCATCAATCGAGCGAGCTCTGCATCAATTGAGTAGCCCCCTAAATTGTGGATGAGTTGCGACCTAAAATTGATCGAGCCTCTTCCCCAATTCTCGGCGAGAAGTCACATGACCAAATTTCATCCTACGTGTCCCTGTTTTGTTGCCGCAAAGCTCAAACCGAACGAACTAATCCCTAGCTCGAGGTTTGGGGCTCATCAAGTGGTAATTAGAGCCCGGTTCTACTTTGTGGCGTGTCACAATGTCGTCGACGAAGGGCAGCGCCGGTACAACGAGGTGGACCAGGTCGAAGGGTCCAGGGGATTGTGACCCTGTTGTTGTTCTGCCTACGGATCAGAGGAAGAAGAAGACTGCCGCAACCGCGACAAAGGCTAAGATTAACAACGTTCTAGCCATAGCGGAGCAGGCCAACATTACGGAGCTGCTGCGGACAATCCTGGCACAGCAGAATACGGTGATCCAAGCCCAATTTGATAATTTAACCCGGCAATTGGCCGAAATCTGAACAACTATAAACGCCCATGTTCAGCCGAGGGATGTTGCAGGGGAAGTTCAGGTGCCTGAACAGAATCAAATTCAGGGCAATTTCGAGTTGCCACCACCTGAAGTAGGACAAGGGCACAATGTTGCCGAGCTAAGAGGCGTTAAGCTGCAAGTGCCATCATTTTCTGGTACGGACAACGCCTCCATGTAAGGGCACAATCTTGCCCCATGGTCTCCACTGTAGGATTTGGATAAAAATGAGCCACATATGGTGCTCTAAGTTGAATAACAATAACATACTTACACGTTGCAACTGCTAAGAGCAAACATTATATAAATACTAAAATAAAATAAACAAAAAAATTCTAATATTGATTTGCCACGTGAAATGAAAAGGAGGACTTATCTAATCCGCAATTAGGCACAGAGCTCATCCTATTTCCACCGCCTCATCGCCTCCCGATTGCATGTCAGAGGACGAAGCTAGAGGAGGCATAAGAGTTGTTGGCGATCGAATTCGAGCTTGGGGATGGAAGAGCCAACTGGGTAGCGGAGACCAGAGAAACAATTCAACTGTTGTCGAGGAAAGAGAGTCTGGTCATCCTTAGGACGACGGTTGGAAACGGCTTGATGAATCAGATATTGTTGAGTCGAGCTCATAGAGGTAAGGCAGAGTGGCGATGGCAGAGGAGATTGGAAATCAATTCTCGCTTCACAATCAATTGGAAAGGTCATAGTCTTTGCTTTCACCTTTTTAGGCGTTTGAAACATTTGTTTACTTTCATAACAAACAATTAGCAAAGAAATTCAGAAAACGAATAGGGAAACCAGAATCATGGAGATTTGCAAAACAAGGGGCCAGAGGAAGAAAGAAGCAGAAGTAATCGCTAGCAAATAGAAATCAAATATAAATGATGAGCATAGCGATGGCGGGTGCAAGTTTGTCTTCTTCCTCTCCAACAAACGACGTCTTCTTCTCCAATTCAGCTGGACTTTATCATTCCAATCTCCTTCATCCTTCGATGTCCAATCTCTGGTTTTGAACGTCTGGGTGGCGCAAAGAACTATTGTCACCGGGGATAATTTTTGTTCATTTCTTGCTTTAAAAAATAATGTGGTTAATACTCGTGTCGTGAATAATCCTCTTGAATTGCATTTTAAAATAAGATATATAATATAATTAAAGTAAACCTTTTGTTTCAAAGATACTTCGGCATATATCCAAACACTTTTGGGGGTCGTTTGGATGAGGGTTTTTAATATGAGAGATTTGTGAGAGATTTAACTTCAAATCACTCGTTTAAAATACCAGGAATTTTATTTGCAGGAATTATCCAAATTAACTCGTTTGGAAGCTAATGAGGGTTTTCACGCTAGAAAGGAAAAAGACAGTTTTACCCCATTTGTTTATGGTGATCTTCGTTATCGGCAAGAACAACAATGTGAAACCCAAAAATCCTACACCAGTGATTTCTTAGGAAGCACATATACCTTCGCAGTAGCTTGATTTTTTGTCCCTGCAAGACCACTGCTTCCCTTCCATTTTTGTTTTTCTCCCCACCAACTATCCCTCCCCTTCAGAAACATCAATTAGCAACCCTACGCCAAGCATAATCACTCCGCTCCTAGCATCATCGTCCACCTCGGCCACCGCCTGCTCGACCACCGCCTGCTCGACCACCGCCTCGTCCTCCTCTAAACCTGCCACCGTCTCGGGGTTTCATGGTTCTTCTTCTTCGCTGCCGCTGTTACAGGGAGGATCGCCGAGCTTAACCAGGAGACAGTGGGAAGAAATTGAAGAACGCCGCTGTTATTGGGGCAACGTTCAAATCCCAGGCGGCGGTGGGAAGAAATTGACGACGAGTGACCAGGTTTGGCGTCGATGTTCAAATTCCATGTGATGGTGGGAAGGAATCGAAGACGAGAGACCAGTTTGGGCGGCGCTCAAATTTTCAGGCGGCGGTGGGACGGAATCGCCGACGGGGACCAGGTTTGGGTGGGAAGAATATCTCGACGTGATGGGAAGAATTGGGTGAGGACTAGTACCACAACTTTTGGGCAACGGACGACATTGGGTAGTGTTGGTGTTGAATGGGTCGACGACGAACTGCAGATAGAAGAAAGAAAGGGTAACAGTTGGAAAATAAAATATAAAAATGAGAGATTTCGAAATAGCTGGTGGCCATCAGCTATTTCAAAAACCCACATTTAGGGTTTCTCAAATCTCTAATTATTAAAATCTCTCATTGTTTATGTTTTTGCCAAACAAGTGATTTTATTAAAATTCCTAATTGTGAGAGATTGTTTTAAAATCCCTCATAGGAAACCCTTATCCAAACGGGGCCTTGGACTATTTACAGTCAAAAAAAAAAAAAAAAACACTTGGACTATCCGATTGGAAGAATATTAACCCTTTTATCTCTTTCCTTGATTTCTATTACATTTATTACTAACCATTTTCGAGCTACATAGGTTGTTCCATTGGTATCAGAGCAGGTCTTTGACGTGGAAATCGATCCAAGGCTGGAAAAGCAAAGCTCATCTGTTAGAATGCTAAGCCATCTGTTTCCAATCACTTAAGAGTCAAGTCGACGGACAATCAATGACAAGACCACCAAAGCTAATAGGAATAGCTATGCCTTCTGGAATGGATGCATGAAAGACTTTCTTCAAGCTTATAACATGAAGGTCTGGATCAATTTCAAAAGGGGTCCAGAAATGGTGGATAATGAAATGAGTGGCTAGTCATGAAAGGACTTGGTGAACTTACATATCAATGCCAAAGCAACACACATTCTCGAGTGTGCACTTGGTGTAGAGGAATATGGCAAAGTGGCAATGTGTAAATTCAAAAAAGAAATATGGGACACACAGGAGGTCACATGTGAAGGTATATGTAAGGACACTAGAATAAGAATATTATTGAAAGAATATGAATTGTTTAAAATGAATGAATACAATAGCATAGTTGAGATGTATGAACGATTCTCTAGGAAAACTATATATGAATGCAGACCTTGTTAGTAAAATTGTAAATCTCCTGCCTACATCATGGAGACCAAAAGTAACGACTATTGAAAAATCGAAGGATCTTGCAAAATTTGAGTTAAGTGAGCTAATTGGCTCACTAACAGCACATGAAAATGTGCTTATAATTGAGGATAATGAGCAATCTAGAAAGAGAAAAGATTTAGCTCTAAAGTCTCACATTCCAAATGATGAAGAGGAAATTGAAGAAATTTTTTCTTTTCTTTGAAAACAACTTCATTATCTGAAATTCAAAAGAAATAAGAAAAATAAGCCCGATAGATCAGGAGAAGATAAGAGATATGGTAAAAAATGAATGAATACAATAGCATAGTTGAGATGTATGAACGATTCTCTAGGAAAACTATATATGAATGCAGACCTTGTTAGTAAAATTGTAAATCTCCTGCCTACATCATGGAGACCAAAAGTAACGACTATTGAAAAATCGAAGGATCTTGCAAAATTTGAGTTAAGTGAGCTAATTGGCTCACTAACAGCACATGAAAATGTGCTTATAATTGAGGATAATGAGCAATCTAGAAAGAGAAAAGATTTAGCTCTAAAGTCTCACATTCCAAATGATGAAGAGGAAATTGAAGAAATTTTTTCTTTTCTTTGAAAACAACTTCATTATCTGAAATTCAAAAGAAATAAGAAAAATAAGCCCGATAGATCAGGAGAAGATAAGAGATATGGTAAAAAATGCATAATCTTCACAAGAACCTTACATATATAGAAAGGAGCTCTGAATTTCGATGTGGTATTTTTACTTGCTTCAGGTGTGGGAGACCTGGACATTTTAGAGCTGACTGTCCAAACAAGAAACAAGGACAAGAACGAGAGTTGTTGATACTTAGAGTTGCAGCGAAGAAGGGTCGGATAAATCAAAATCAGAAGATGAGCACAAATGATATATGGTTCTCATCGATCATGATCATCTGGGACTTATGGTCAAAGAAAAATAGGATATTCAGGCACTACTTGAACCTCCACATGCTTTCAAAGATAACAGTGATTCAGATGACTCTCAAGAGTCAAGCAACGCTTAGGTAAAAAGTCAGATAGAGCACAAGGGATGCCCAGTACAATAGATTTTCTCTTCAAATTTCCTCTTGACACGCTATGACACAACTCCTAACAATGACCAAGTGTAACCAATGAAAGAGACTGCAACATAGTGGCACAAGTAATAAATGTCGAATCCACGGGTCTCTAGAGTTACTATTACTCAGCTTCAGTTCATTATCTGGCAAACCAAATTAATGATTGATTTACTAAACTATTCCACGGGTCTCTAGAGTTACTCACTCAGGTATGATTCCCCCTAGCTCCTCAATTAGGTTCAATTTGTAATTTCCTTTGGTTGTTTTACTGTTGATTAAACCGCGGAAGATCCGATAATAGCTTGTAATCTCTTAAACTGACCAAGCCCTCTTAGAAAAAAATACTCAGAGGGCGACTAACCTCCATCGAGTACAAATCTAAGTCAATACACAAAGATCTCCATTACTTGAATGAATTCCAGTACAAAGCAGTGAATTTACTGACTCTCCTACAATCAATTCCCTACTACCAATTGAGAAAGCTCTCTTAACCCAATCAGATTCTATTTATCAAAGGTTAAAGCAAAAATCAAAGGAAAGTGATCAAGATTCAATTGACTCAACAATCATGCCTCAATTGATTAAAACCATTTAGTATAACATCCAAAGTTTCAAACAAGAAAGATCCTAACACATGGAACTAGGGTTCCTCAAAACCTAAGTGAAGGGAAGTTACTCTATAGAGAAGAGAGAGAGAGATTGCACTATAATTTTCCAGATCTTCAATCTTCATGTCTAGACTTGTTCCTTGAGTTTCAATGGTGAAGAATCCTCCAAAATAGCTCCAAGAATGGTTGTAGGTCGCCCTCTCTCTCTTTGGTTCATCCCTTGGGTGTTTGGGATCCAAAACCCAGCTCCAAAATCGATCCTAGGGTTTGTTTTTTGCCCTTTATCTCTCTAGAACTCTGTTTTTGCTATGAAAATCCGATTCCCCATCTTTTGGTTTGAAAGTGCCAGTTTAACCCGATACTGTCATAACACGGGCATGGACACGGCCGTGTCCTTCTCATCCCGCATGTGTTCTTCAAAGCCATGTGGGACAACTTAAACCAGTGTGGGAGAAACGCGCCCGCTCCAAGGAAAACACGGTCGTGCCCAATGAGGGACACGAACGTGCTTAAGCCGCGATGCGCCCATGTTCTGCGTTTTTCAGAAGCAGTCATAAATCAGCTGTCGGCATAAAAAACACTGGCGTGCTTCGGGACGATGGCGCCCGTGTTATCGCCTTTCTTCTACTTGACCTGCGCACTAAAAAGCACTGGTGTGCTCCTTAGTGAACCACGACCGTGTTCTTGACTAAGGTTGCCCGTGTTTGGCTCCAACTTTACCGAATGACCTCCAAATGACCCAAAACTCGCGCTTAGACCTTCCTTTGATGTTTGGGACCTGAAATATGACAAAAAAAGCAACCCAACATAAAATAGGCCAAAGACACACGACTACAAGCCAAAACGGATAAGACACGAGGGTGCAAACATGTGCAAATACAACGTTATCAAATTCCCCCACACTTAACCGTTTGCTTGTCCCTAAGCAAACAAAGTCAGACACCAAGTAAACTTAGCACCATTTACAATCAAAATAACTTAGGGGACATGGCATATGGCACAAAACACGCGAATCTCAACAGACAGCTAGTACCAACACATGCACGACAGCAACAACTACCTCAATGACCATGCAGATGACAACCAATCGCAATAAGATTATGCAAAGGAAGAGTCTAACGAATGTTCACAAACCAAAGCATGACCAACTCGCCTATTCACACACCACAATAAACCATGCATAGAGCTCAAGTCACCAGAATCAAAGACAGAGAAATCAAGGTCCTCGCCGGGATAAAGAATATAAGCAAATGAATTGCTCACTCTCGACCAGTGGGGTCAGGAAAATTTGATGCGAGAAATGTGCATCCTTATTCTCTCAATCCTAATGTCTCTTCACCATGATGGTAGCCTCTAAATGCAGTTCACATATCGGGTGTCACCACTAAATATTCACGAGGTCTTAGACACAAGTTTAGATGACTGGCTAGGGTCTTGAACATGGGGAAAAGGCCTTTTAGGTGGTGGAAGAATTCATACACAAGGTTCCACGGTTCCTAAACCAAACACAACAACATTCATTCAAACCATTGACTTTATTTCTTCCATTCCGCATTAATCAAGTTCTTTAGAGCACAAGAGTGAAGAAGGTCACAACATGTTAGTATTTCTAAGCCAAGCTGCTAAGAAACACTATTTAATGGGCATGGTTTAGATTTTTGTGGTGGCTCTATTTTGTTTTCATTCAAAAAAATTTCTTTTCTTAAGAGAGCCACCCCTTTTACATATCTTTTATCCTTGCACGCACATGCCCAATTTTAAAGAACTATCTCCAACCCACATCTTATTCTCAGCAGAAACAACAGAAAACATGCAAAAAACACTTTGTGGAACGTCTAAGAGATGAAAAAGGGTGATTTTTCATTGTAGATTGAAAAAAACAGTGCACACGGATCAAAGGGGCTGCTGACTAGGGGATTTGACACACCAGGACAGTCAATTTGGTCGTGGGCTAATCCTATGCCTCCATCATCCTAACTAGTGGTAACGTGAATGCTACACATCATGGAAGAGGGATCTATCACACAAGAAAGAAACGAAAATGCTCAAATCTCACATGGCTACCTATATGCTTTATCTCTCATTCTGATTTCCTGAACTAGATGCATAGAGAATTATAGACGGTAAGTAAACAATCCATGTCACAAGTTGGTTCAAACAGGAGCAAGAGTAAACCTATACACCATCCAACTACGAATCTTAGACATCATTACAGTCATTTTAGTCACAAGAAAATCATTTATGCATTAATGCCAACTGTCATCAGATATCACCAAAACACATAGTGCCAACTTGTTCGTGCAAATGGAGAAAAAGTGCTTGGAGCCCTCAAATCTCGAGATTTGGACAGCGGACTAGGCTCCATCCAAGCACACATACATATGTTCCAATAAATACAAAGCACCCCCACACTTAAGTTCGACATTTCCCGCAATGGAGCAGAGGGAAGGGAAACAATGTTACCGGGAAATGATGAGCGCGAACGGTGATGGGAAGGCAAACCAATCAAGAGTAGGGGACTAGAAGGGGACCAGTCCAAAGGGAACAGAGCTAGAGTCAGGAAAACACACACACTGGGTGAAAGAAACCATAGTTCCCGGTCTATAATCTAAATAAAAAGAAAAAAAAAAACAGAAAACCGACAGGAGTCTCAATCTGGAGAGAAAGAAAAGTACATAACCCAACATCCCATGTGGGATCAATCAGAGCCAGCCTAGAGCTCATCGCCAGCTGGAGGCAGGTAGTTATCCTCATGCTCGGGGGAGCCTGTCAGGGGTAGTGAACAGCAGCAGGGTTCATGTCCCAGTAGTGCATCATATAGTGCTGAGCCGAAATGATGCGGCGACGACCATAACACTCATGATCAAGGCGAGAGTTGAGGTGCTCATGGACAGCTAGAATGAGCTCGTTCTAACGAGCATTAGTCACCAACTGGTCAGCAACGGACATCGTGGGGGCAGCAAAAGGCCCGATGGCAGAGGTTGAAGGGCTCGCCGGTACGTGGGCACGACGAGTTGCACGACGTGGGCTATGCCGTCCCCCAGCAACACTCGACTCCGACTAGTCGGCCCCATCAAGAGCAGGCGCAGGTGGCTTGGGGAGACCCTTTATCCATGTCAGAGGGCCATCATGCTTGAGCAAATGCTGATTCTGGAGAGTAGCTTTGCCAAGAGGAGTCGGGGCGCGGATCAGGGTCATGTCAGAAATATCAACCTCATAGTAGTGAGGCAATGCGGTGATCACCGGTCCATAGAGAATAAAGCAATCCTAAGAAGCGACAATA